TCAGCACCACTCCTGATTACTTTATCTGTCATCAGTAGTAATCGTGATGGTTTGGTATTTCATGAAAGTTTATTATTATCTTCACTCAACCTATTCAACCCCCTTCTAAGTTGTATTGTTAGCCCCAATAGGTAGTTGGTATCACTGTATCATCACAAGCACGTGCGCTATTTTGGACACTAGGACGAAAATCTAGGACATCCATAGTAAAAATGGACTCCATATGGACTAGACTCATCCTCATCGATGTGTAAATCATAGCATTGAGGCCTTGTCACATACTTCACAACATTCTTTGCATTTCTCTCTTTAAAACCGGTATCAATGAACTTAAGATTGTAGAAGAACGGCGCTTTTCTGAAGCCTTCAAAAGGAAATGGTTGCTTCCTATCTTGTCGCAACTTACCCCACAAGGGCCGCCTCATGATGTAGATTTAGAGGTAAATGTTCATAAAACAGTCCAAATGGCACACTATAAAAGGTGGCTTACCAAAGCGTCGATCTTTTGTTCATCCATAAGGCCAATTAATCATGAACGTGGATTCTTTCTCAATCCATACCTCGCGTGACACAGAATTGATTTTATCTTTTTTTAACAATTAGGAATCGCCACTAGCCTATGTCATGTGAATTCCGCAAATTGACTCAAATTCGTGACACGAGCTAGCTTAATTGATCAAATTGACTCAAATTCGAGTGAATTTTCCAAAATTGATTTTAGATTTGAGTTGCATATAAGAAATTAGGCTCATCTATGGCTTAATTGTGCAAATCATGAAGAACTGACGGAAACCCCTAATTAGGGCTTAAATTGGTGATTTCCACCCTTGGCTTGGAATTCTAAAATTGATTTGAAAATTGAATGAAAGACTACCTCAAGATCAAATGCCGTGAAGGAAACTATCCTGAAAAATGACTAGAAATGAAATAATTTCATTTTTGGTCGATTTGAACCAAATTTCGCAAATTAGGAAAAAGTTGAATCTAAACCGATTTTTGTAAAAGTGATGATGCCAAAGTGAAATTAAGCTAAAGAGGAATTTATTTAAGGGTTTTGAATTTTTTTCAATTTTTTTGAGCAAAGTATTGACCAAAAGTCAACATTTTAGTGATTAATCACTAAAATGCCAATTAATGGGTCAAACTTTGAATTTTTTGAAAATTGATAATGCAAAAGAGAAATTGACACTCTTTTGGGATTTTATATGCAAAAACCAAATTTTGACTTTGGGTTGACTTTTTGGTCAAAGTTTGATCAAAAGTCAACTCAACAATCAACGTTTTTTCTTTTTGAGATTAAAGTGCAAAAAGCTAGAAAATGAGAGGCTAATGCTATTTTAATTGCTAAATGACTCTTTTTGAATGAGAACTGGGTTTTGTCGCGATCAAAAACCCTACTCTCAAGTTTTTCTACTTTTACGACATGTCAGCTAAAAATTAGGTGTCAACATATCTACATTGCCGTATGATGACCATCTGGTTGTGTATTCATTATCTCTCCACCCCAAAGTATTTCAGAAGCACCTCCATCTGGAGAAGTGAATATTTCTTCAGGCCAGTATCCCAAATCAACATCTACAATGTGTAGCCACCCGTCCCAACTGTCTTGATTCTAAAATTATCCCTTTGGTCAAGAGATAGAAGACTGAAAGTATGTGCACATATTTCTTTTGAATAGATAAGTTCTACAAGCAGAAGGAAATGGAGACACAGTCACGGATAGGCTATGCATTTCAGCCTAAAGTTGTTTCGTGTCACCTAAAAGATGGCACTCGACTTTTCATTACCTTATTTATGGATATATATATGTCATGTTGCTGTCTACTATAGATGGAGATAGGTCTAATAGGAGGTCTTAGAGCAACTTTACGATCAGCTTGCACGAACCCAGGACATTCAAGATTGTAACAACTACTATCTTGATAGTCATCAGCCTAGAATCCCTCGAAAATAGACATGTCAAGTTTTGGTCCTGAATCTTGCAAGTTACAAGTTATAAGTTTTGAAATTATTAAAGAACTCACACTTCAATAAATGAAAGCCCTTGTCCATCTGTCGAAACAAGGACCTTTATCTACCTGGAATAAATAAGAGGTTAAAGAGCTTTGTGGAACTAATATACATGGTAAATTTCAATTGTATTATTGTTTGAAATTATGATGCAATGCAAGTGCTAAAATCATTGATATAAGAAGGGGTAAGTAATGAACCTTTATGTTTGAAAATTGGAGATTCGTTAAATTTAATGGAAAATAGATAAGTTCTTATCTTGGTTATCTAGGAAGTTATGGTCATTCAATATTAAGTGATGATCTTTTAAATGATAAATTCTTTATTAAGATTTTTGTTTTAAAGATAAGTTCAAGTTTGGAAACCCCTGATGCTAGAGACAACAATGGGAAATTGCCTCGGGAAGACAATTGAGGTTGGAATTTAAAGAAGTGGATCGTTATCTTAGTTCTACAATTGTATGTACACAATAATCATTTTGATGTGATGATGTTATGAATCATGTCTTGGGTGTATTACAAGTTAATTGTCCCGTGATGCTAGAGGAAATTTTTTTGAAATAATGTGATTAACAATCTCACTCGACGTGTTAGTAAGAATATGAGAAGTATTTAAAGGTTTTTATACAATAAATTAGAGTTGATTTGCACAAATCTTCAAGTGGATTATGTGACATTCTTGAGTATGAGTTGATCAATGGAATGGACAATTGATATGTGATATGAGATTGATCGACGGAATAAATCATTGGTATTAGGGAATGAAAAAAAGCACTGGTGTACTCACAGCAAAACACTTGACAAAGCTATTTTTATTAGGGTATGAAAAAGAAAAAGGAAAGCATGTTATCATATGTTCACTCATTTGCACACTGGGCTGAAAATCTAGGGCCCCCATAATAGAAATGAAATCCAGATAAGTTGGGCGGGTCCACGTTTAACTGTAAGTCATAGCATTCAGGTCTTCTGACATACTTCACGAGATTCTCCGGGTCTCTATACATTAAGTCTTCGTCGACGGATTTAAGATTGTGGAAATAGGACGCCCTACTGAAGCCTTCAGAGGGGAAATGGCCGCTCCCCATTTGCGTTGACGTATGACCACCACCCTGTGGTGTGCTGGCTACCTCTCCACCCCAATCAATTCGATTGGCAGGGCCTCTTAGATAAGTGGCCTCTTAGATAAGTGAAGATTTCCCAAGGCCAGTATCCTACTTCTATGGTGTTCATAATGTGTAGCCACCATGATCCAGTATCAGGCACCTGAAATACTTTTGTTAAAAGATAGAAGGATAAAAAATATCCATTGTATATTTACCTAAAATGTTGTTCCATTACCTTCATAATGTCTATACTTAGGTCATATTGCTGTCCACCATAGTCAGAGATTGGTTGAATCACAGCACCTAAAGCAAACCGACGATTTGTATGTACGAATCCAGCGCAATCAACATCGCAGCAACCTTTATCGCGATAGCCATCACTCTAAACTCCACCCAAGAAAAGCATGTCAATGTTTGTTGTGTTTGTAAAAGTTTGGTGAATTAAAAGCACTCGAAAGAGTTAATAACTCACTGTCCAGTATGTGAAAATCTGTACCTCGTTGATATTGCTCCGATCTCTATTAACCTATAATAAAAACACAAGCCACTTATCTTCTAAATTTGCATACATTTAGAATCCCAACCATGGTAAAATCTTCCAATTGGATCATTCTAAGTTTTTACCATCCATCCGGCCTCCACAGTGTTCACATCCTCATAAGGGCCTGCTGAGAGCCAAATTTGAGAGAAACTGGCTTCAGTCTCCATTACTATAGGTTTCCATGCATTAATTTTTGCATGAGCTCCATAATAGTTGCCACCCCTCATAATTACTATAGCATACTGACCAATAGACAACAAACTCATAAGGAAGTGAAACTTAAGGATCAATGCATAAACAAAAATGCAACTCAAAAGCAATGCCCCAATAAGTCATATCGTGATGTATTTGCACATACTTCATGTTTGTCCAGTGCACGTACACTAAAAAAAACAAGGGATTAGCGACGAATTTTGCGACGAAAAATTTGGCAAAATCCGTCGCAAATTCGATTTGCGACGAAATTAGCGACAGAAAAAATTCCGTCGCTAATAGGGCGTCGCAAAATTTTGCGACGGAAAATTTCAATTTCCGTCGCAAAATTGCGACAGAAAAAAATTGGTCGCAAATAATTCGTCGCAAATTAGCCACGAACACTATTCATCGCAAAATTCGTCGCAAATTAGCCACGAACTTTATTCGTCGCAAAATTCGTCAGAAATTTCGTCGCAAAATTCGTTGCAAATTTCGTCGCAAAATTTCGTCGCAAATTTCGTCACAAATTTCGTCGCAACATTCCACTACAAAAAAATGAGGTTTTAGCGACGAATTTTGCGACAAAAAATTTGGCAAAATTCGTCGCTAAACGAATTTGCGACGAAAAAAATTCCGTCGTTAATTCGGCGTCGCAAAATTTAGCAACGAAAAATATCAATTTTCGTCGCTAATTATTCGTCGCAAATTTCGTCGCAAATTATTCGTCGCAAAATTCGTCACTAATTATTCGTCGCTAATTATTCGTCGCAAAATTCCGTCGCAAATTATTCGTCGCAAAATTCATCACAAATTATTCGTCACAAAATTCGTCGCTAATTATTCGTCACAAAATTCGTCACAAAATTCATCGCAAATTATTCGTCGCTAATTATTTATCGCTAATTTCGACCAAAAAAAAAATTCATCGCTAATTTGCCAAGTTTTTTTTTTGGGTCCGTAAATTTTTTGTGGTCAATAATAGCAACGAATTTTTATTAATTATTTAGCGACGAATTTTTATTAATTCTTTAGCGACGAACTCTGCGACGAATATTGTTTAGGGACGACTTCGATTTTAAATCTAATTAACAGCAAAAGTAATTCCTACAATTTATATTTAACATTGATTAAGCACTTAATAACATCAAAATATTATAATAATATGAAAATGAAATACATTCATCTGCATTTTCCACAAGAATGACATATATATTTTTCTTTATAGTACACATAATGAGAGAATAAATAATCTTGAGCACTTTAAAGCACTTGCTTAAGCAACCTCAGGGTGGCAATTCTTTCCAGGACAGGAACATATTGGGCCAACTGCACTTCTGGCACTGAAGATGCTGAAGCAAAGCTTATCCCCGATATGTATGAAAAGATACTTCCAATCTTGCGCCCACTCTGCTTTCTCCAATAAGGTTTGCATGAAGTGCTTCATCACCTCCTCCAAAGAAGTGACATTCACTTGTTGACATACAATGCAATACTCAAAGTCCCACAAGCCCAGAGAAGAAAGTGAAATACCTACAATTGCCAAAATTTCGCATCCAAAATTAAAAGGATTGCACTTAGAACATTTATATATCTTTAGGCCATGAAAGCAATTGCTAGAAATTTCTGGTGACACATTTTCAGTCTAATTGATCCTCTGAAAGAGCAAATTAAGAAGCCTAGATTAACGGACCTACCAATCAATACGCACACCGCACAAGGTTAGATTGGCTCTCATTGTACAATGATGTGTAAAAATTAGAAAGATCATCTGAGTAAAAGATGCATCCATCTATTGTGTACACCCTCAGTCTATAGTATTTGTGATGTTCTTCACAGTATACCTATATCTTTACTCTGCCAAACATATCTCACATAGAACTCTTCTTTAAATTATACCTATTTGATGCTTCACTCTTAAAAGCAATAAGATGTCATTAGCAATATAAACTAGATATAGGAGCTACAAGCTCCACAATGGCCCCACTATCCAAACTTTCAAGGTCTTTACATCAAGAAGGCGATATCTACTCTATCATCTAGGAGAAGAATCTAACATCCCAAAAAAAAAATTCTTTAACAGGCATGATGCTTGATAGTTCACCATTTTGGATGTCATTGCCACTCAATCAAAGATAAAGAGATTCTTCAATTTCTCTTTTCTTTGCAGTTTTCCCCCTGGCAGGATGATCATCAATTTAGGGACATTCTCCACTACGGTACCCAAGAGGGTGCAACCCACCAAATCATGTCAAATACAACATACAAATCAATAGCATCCACATATCTACTACCAACTGTAGACCAAGATTTTGAAGGTTAGGGATATATTCAGAAACAAATTTTGTGCATGCTTCAATGAATAATGATATGAGATAACAGCCATTAAACACGTATCTCACAGGGCAAGATACAAGTATGGACTTGTTCTCTAAATGGAACATCCACCATGGTGGGAGATATTCCAGCAATAGTTGCATCAAGATCAAGACGTCCTGTGAGAACTACGTAGCAACATGAGATCTGAATCATGTCACACTCTTAACCTAGAGTCTCGCTAACTTATACACAGGCATATCACATTCAAACAAAGGAAAAATAATGTGCAGATGAAAGTATAAAGTCACATCCACATCAAAAAGCTATCATGAAGGCTTAGCCCCAGTACTGCAGATCTTAATGTGTCAGAAAGATGAGACCGAAGCCTGAGGTACAAATGTTTTGGCAGAAGACTGATGGAAACTGAAGCCTGAGGTACAAACACTTTAGCAGCAGGCTGAATTGAGACTTGAGATTAGGAGGTTGCAGCCTTCACTTGAGGATAAAATTAATAAAGATGTATTGCCTAGAAGAACACGGCTATGACACTTTAAACCCGTAATACCGAGCAGCAAAGATTAAATGGATGTAGCTAACTTGTACTTTACCATTCATAGAGACGCTAAGTATTCTTGCGAAGAATGCCACATGCACTGCTTCTTTAAATATCTATGCAAAGATTGCCACATTATTTGGTATACCAAGTCGCTAAACCGGTCTTTTTGCACGTGTAGTTGCCTCTAACCATTTTGTGTCAACATGAACGACTACGGTCCTACAGGCTGAGATTGCCTGTTATACCAGAAACCACCCATGGGAAAGTATAACCCGATTATCTTGTGATTGAAACTTTACATACCTATAATCAAGTGTTCTGCAATCACAATCTTGACATAAGTAGAATGAATACGGCACAATTCGAAGAAAACGGACCTGAAAAGTTTATTGCAGGACAATGTGATTGACTACAGAAGGTGAATAACAATTAACCACTCGTATAAAATAGAAACTTACAAGAGAGTAGAGCTCCCCAACACGATTTTGAAGAGGTGTTCCACTTAAAGCCCATCTGTATGAAGACTCCAGTCCGAGAACTGCTTTTGCAGTATTACATCGCCTATCTTTGACAAAGTGAGCCTACATTGAATAAAATTGCATAGGCATAAGTGGGAAATGTACATGCAGATGAATGTTCAAAGATCACGAAGCAAATCATACTAAGAGATCCCGGATAGAAGTTTTTTTGATAAATTGTGGAAAAGAACATGCATATACGGTTCCCTAAAAGTAATCAAACCTTCAATCGAAAGGCCTAATCTTACAGAAGTTTGTCTTGCCAAGAGCAAATTAACGCATTCATGCGTGGCTTCACCCAGCCAAACAAAATAACGAATCACGTGTTGCCAGCATGGACATATCGAAATCTTTATATCGGTTACAAAGCATTGAACTATGTTAGCACTCATATCACCGCAAGATACTCCCATTCACTCACCTCATCCAAAATAATGCGCTCCCACTTCACTGAGTGTAAAAGCGACTTCCCCACACGATGGCTTTGATCATCCTCCAAATCACTAATGTTCTCTACTGTAGATTCTATATGTCTTTGTTGCGTTGCCTGTCTGCCTTTCTTCTTTACTTGCGTTGCCTGTCGTGCCCAAATTATCCGCCGGCAACAAAAATGAAGAAACTCATCAAACCAAAGCGCAACGTCAAACGAACCAAAAAAACATTCCTACAAGCAACCTCAGACCCAGAAGTGCGAAATCTGCCTCTGGGTTTTCATCTCACGACCGTCGATTTCTTCTCTCAATTTACCCAAAATTCCAACGAAATCGACTCGGAAAACTCACGGTGTTCACGGTGCTCTCGAGATTCTGAGCAGCACCGTAGGCCGAGAAGATGAGCAGGAACCCACAACTCAGGATATGGACATCACGGGCATGGCCTCTCGGAGGCGACGCAGCCGGCGGGGCCTCGGCGGCGACCAGCAGAGCCTCCTCTTCGGAAGCCTCGGCCTCCTCCTCCGGAGCGGCGATCTCTCGGTCCTCTTGCTCCGCCTCCTCCGCCTCTAATTTCTCGGGGAGCTCCTCCTTGCACTCGACGGGGGAGGAGCCGCCGCCCCTCTGCGGCCTCTAGGGCTCCGGAGGCCATGGCGAAGAGTCGCCGGAGGAAGCGCAGGTATAGCATCATCGCTGCACTTATTCATTTCTACTGTTAACTGCAAATTTTGTATGGGAGGCACAAGACAGAATACTAGTGCAAGTTACAGGTCAAAAAATGAGGGGAGAAAAACCTGTACGGTATGATTCTTGAGAAGCGGATGATCAAAAGCAGGTTGCTTGAAGATGTCAATACAATCGATCACTTCACTAGTTTCATAACTCTGCAGCAGGTTCTCATACATGATCTTAGCAGAAAGAACATATTTAAAAGAGAAAAAAAGGTGAAATAGCAACATGCAGAGTTTAGGAATGACCTCAATGGTTTTCACCACTCCTTTAGGCTTATCGGATCTTGTAACTTTGTTTGATACAAGGATTCTCGCTCGAGCACGCCCATCGCTTATCATACTGATAAAACTGATCATCAAAACGAACCATTTGAAAAGATGCATCCGTGGACTTACCCTTGCCATTATAAAATAGACTAGAGTATTTTTGAAAATGAGACAAGACAATGTTATTTCTTATATACACATAAATCATATCCCCTTGGTAGACCTCAAACCTAAATCCTAGTAATCATCATTAATAGCCTGCCATGGATCACTACTTTCACAAGGAAGAAAATGATTCTTCTCTTGGCAAGTATGATCAAGTTTTTGCATGTAAAAGGAAATGTTCAAGATTTAATAATCTAAAGGAGATATGCATCAACGATTTATCCTTAGTAGACCTAAAACCTAAATCCTAGCAATCATCATTGATAACCTGCCATGAATCACCATTTCCAAGGAAGAAAATAATTCTTCTTTTGGCAAGTATGATCAGGTTTTTGCACGTGAAAGGAAATGTTCAAGATTTGGTAATCTAAAGGAGATATGCATCAATGATTTATCCTTGGTAGACCTCAAACCTAAATCCTGGCAATCATCATTGATAGCCTGCCATGGATCACCGTTTCCACAAGGAAGAAAATGATTCTTCTTTTGGCAATTATGATCAGGTTTGTGCACGCTAAAGGAAATGTTCAAGATTTGGTAATCTTAAGGAGATATGCATCAACGATTTATCCTTGGTAGACCTCAAACCTAAATCCTAGCAATCATCATTGATAGCCTGTTGTGGATCACCGTTTCCACAATGAAGAAAATGATTCTTCTTTTGGCAAGTATGATCAGGTTTGTGCACGTGAAAGGAAATGTTCAATATTTGGTAATCTAAAGGACATATGCATTAATGATTTATCCCTGGCAGACCTCAAACCTAAATCCCGGCAATCATCATTGACAGCTTGCCATGGATCACCGTTTCCACAAGGAAGAAAATAATTCTTCTTTCGGCATGGATTAGGTTTGTGCACGTGAAAGGAAATGTTCAAGATTTGGTAATCTATATGAGATATGCATCAATGATATATCCTTATCCTTCCACAGATGGAAAATAAAGAGAAAAAATAGGTCAATTTTTATACATGTAAAAAATTCTCATTTTGGAGTGGCCATCAAAATGTTACATTGATGGCAAGTATATATACATATATACATATATATAATATACAAGGTAATGGTAATGAGTGAAATTGCTTCGGTGGCAAAGGGCAAATAACTCTCCAATTCCTTCTTTCTTCATAAATGGTAATGAAACTCCTGTAACCAAAAAATTATGCTAACAATACATAAAATTGCCAAAACTAATACACAAAGATGGGGCAAAAAATAGGCAAAGCTGCAAAGCCTCTGTCGATAATCTACCCCCCTCATATACTGAAACATGGAAGAAAAATAAAATGACAAGCTTAACGTTCTAGACATAATATGCCATCTCTTAAGGGAGATGTACTAAGACATGAACTTCCCAAGGTTCTCGTGGAAACTCTCAATTGATTTTCAAATTATTGCTAGCTCATTAGCTGACATCCCAACACGACAATGCATCTCAAAACCAATGTGATCGTACTACCAAAAACAATGATTAACACTAACTTTCGGACACCATTTCCAAACTATTTGGACATAATATATGCGCCAGGGAGGTCTGTTCTATGGCTTAGCCACTAGTTGCTACTTCAAATACTGAGCTGAAAACCCAGGACCACCGTAAAAGAAAATTGATCCCGTATCGAGGAGTCTTACCCATGATCTACAAATCATAGCACTTAGGGTTCGATGCCATCCTTATGGCATTATCTGCATCCCTGTACATCAAATTGGCATCAGCATATTGAAGGTTGTGGAAATAGGACGATTTCCGAAATCCTTAATAGAGGAAAGTGGTCGCTCTCCATTTGCGCTGTCGTATGATGATCATTAGGTTCCATGTTGATTATCTCTCTACCTCAAGTTACCTCATTAGCACTTGTGCTTAAAGAAGTAAAGATTTCTTTGGGCCAATATCCTATGTCGACGTTTGCCAATTGAAGCCACCAATGTCCAATAGCTAGATTTTGGGACATCTGGTAAGAAGACAAATATACTTATTACATTCACGTTTGCATCACCCAAATATAGTTAAATTACGCATTTTGATTTCCTTATAACTAACAGCATCATATGATCTATTATGACGAGAAAACTAGGTGGGGAACACGAAAGAACCAACCATTTTTGTAAATGGACAATGTCCGTTACCTGGGTTATAGACATATAAACATCATATTGATTCCCGTTAGTAGGTGGATATAGGTTGTACTGGAGATCCAAGAGTAATTTTGCGGTCCACTTGCACGAATCCTAGGCAGTCGAGATTGAAGCGACCGGTCTTTTTGGTAGTTATCACTCTTATGAAAATCATCTAGGATAAGCATGTCAATTGTCAGCCATGTGATCCTGACTCGCATGAGAATCTCAAATATCATAAAAGACACAGGAGAACTCAAGGTCCAGTATATGAATGACCTAGTTTGTTTGCCGAAATTAGCAGACTAACTAGCTGAAACCAAAAAGAGAGAACTTTATTTTTCTCCGGGCACTTTGAGAATGCAAATAATGCCAATACAACTTTTATCCAGTATTTACCGTCCATCCCACCTCATAGTATTCATATTCTCATTTTATCCCGCCAAAACCCACATTTGAGAGAAACCAACTTCGTTGTCCAATACTGTGGGATAGGGATTCCACGTATTTACATTCACATGTACTCTGCGGTAAGTCCCACTGGGCAAAGACACTTGCGTACTGTTCCAAATAATTATACATCATATTCATTAAGAAGTTTGCTTTAATGCGATCAGATCATCTCTGTGATGAAAATGAACTCAAAGGTGACGGTCTTAAGAACACTTCTTTTCTTTAGATTGAACACACTTCATGACCAGCAGCTTCGATCCAGTTAAGTTGGCTTTGATTGACTCTCTTCATTTGTTGATTGAACGGATTGGCTCGTTTTTATTATCGTACTTTTGGTGGCTTTAATAGGGACCGTTCCTTCGGGGAACTCTCCATATCTCCACCAACCCTGACTGGGCACGCCTTCGGATGATTCTGCTTCATTTAACTACTGGCTTGAGTTCAGTTTCACTTGTAAAGTATTCAAGATGAAAGTTTCAGCTTTCGTTATATCATCAGAGAAAAGAACATGCTGCTACTTTCCTAGATAAAGTCATCTAATTGGCTCATCATCATAAGAAATTGAAAATACTGTTGCTTAGAATGGCTATATTATGGGCTGGGCCTCCTAAAGCATCTCATGCTGTCGCCCACATATGTATGTTTAAATTGAGTTAATCTTGTTTGTTTCGTCTAACGCCTTATGTCATATAACAAATATACTCCTAGGGTGAACATGCATGGTATACATATCATCCAATTTTCGGCTGTCCGCCGCCTCTTCCCGCCGGTCCTTGTCTTGCGACCAGCACCCTTGGTGGTGTCGTAATTGGCGCCAAGCATAATCATCGTTGGAAGTCCTTAACGAGCTGCTGCTGCTTCCTCGATGACAACCCGATGCAGCCGCTGCTCTGTTCCGACTCTGCTGTGCCAACCCGAGCTGCGACAACAAGCCCTGCACCACATGTCTGACTGTCGACCTTATTGGTTTTCTACAGAACATGCATAGTTAAATTAAATATAAACGCATCGGAAAAAATATAACCATACATGTATCTCCAAAGGCGTTGTTCGTGCGTTTCAATCAAAAATCGGAAAATCATAGGGGGTTGAACGGATTACCTCTCGTAGCATGCCCAAACGACTTGGTTTGGATGTTCTTCCGTTCGAGCCCCACAACCGTCTAGTGTGTCCAAAACGACTTGGTTCGTATGTTCTTCAATTCGAGCCCCACATGTCACGCCCCAAACCCCATCGGGCACGCGTCATCCTTTAATGATCGATTTATGCGACATCCCAGGAATTATCGCCGACCTCAATACAATCATCAGAGATTTAACGCACGGCGGAAACCACAATCAACCCGGACAATATAAACTGGGAAGGTCAGGGAGAATATACATATTTTCATTATCAAACTTATAAAACCTTTACAGTTTACAGCCACCACATA